TAATGGTCACCTTTCTAACAATCGTACGTTACTCTGTGGTATTCTACAGGGGACTATTTTAGGACCATTGTTATTTTTACTGTATATAAATGACTTACCAAATTGCCTTGAGCACTCCCAAGCACGAATGTACGCGGATGATACTAATTTAACATTTGCAAGTAACAATATTGACGACATAAATTATCACCTTAATCATGACCTTGCAAATGTGAACAAATGGCTTATCGCCAATAAGCTTACTCTAAATCAATCCAAAACTGAATTTATGCTAATTGGCTCACGACAAAGAATAGCCACATTTCGATTAGTTCCATGTTTAGAAATAGACGGGGTTCCTATTGACAAGGTTTTACAAGCAAAGTCTCTCGGAGTGTACCTTGATGAGAATCTATCTTGGAATATACAAATTAATGAATTAACAAAAAAGATTGCTTCTGGTATTGGCGCTTTAAAACGTGTTCGATCATTTGTCCCAGTCGCAACATTGCAATTAATTTTTAATTCCTTGGTTCAGCCATATTTCAATTACTGTTGCACAGTTTGGGACAATTGCAACAAAACCCTAGCTGAAAAACTTCAAAAACTACAAAATCGTGCAGCAAGAGTACTAACATTCTCCAGTTATGACTAATGCTGATGGTTTAATTGAGAAACTTGGCTGGAAAAAATTATCATCCCAGCGCCAGTTTCAAAAAGCTGTCATGGTCTATAAATCATTAAATGGTCTTGCTCCTGATTACATGCATTCCATGTTTGTAAACCGTGACAGTGTTAATCCTTATTCGCTGAGAAACACTGAGAACAAACTAGCTGTTCCCAAGCCCCGCACGAACTATCTCAAGAATAGCTTTAGCTATAGTGGTGCGGTGCTGTGGAACAGTCTTCCGATTGGGCTACGGCAAGCAAATAACTTGATAAATTTCCGATCGGGCTGTGCCAAATTATTTTAACTTTCCTTGTATATATTGTTATATTAGCTTAGTACACGGCCCTCATGAAAAGCAGGTATTATATTTTCTATTTACTTTAGCGTGGTTCTACTTTTGTAATTTATCTAATTTAGTTTGTTGCATGTTAAATCCTGATGAGAATACCGTGTGTAAATAAAGTTTTAATAATAATAATAATAAAAAGGTTGCTTTGGTTTTGAGTCGTTGATTCTTTTAGGAAGAAACTAGCTTTCCATCTCATACGTTTTGTTACGCTTTCCACTTTTTTATTCAAATTCTATATTTGCACCCGGTAATCGGTTGTGCACTCTTGTCTACGTTATTCATTTTATTTCTACTTCAAACATGCGACAATTTCGATTCGATTATTCACTAAAGAATTTGATTGAAAAAGTGGAAAGGATGCAGAATGCTTACCTAAAGAATTTGATTGAAAAAGTGGAAAGCATAACAAAACGTATGAGATGGAAAGCTAATTTCTTCCTAAAAGGATCAACGACTCAAAACCAAAGCAACCTTTTCGGCCTTTCGTCTAACAAATCGCCTCCTTCAATTCCACTTTTGAAACCTTTCGAAGACGACTTGATAAAACTAATTGAAAACGTAAAATTCCGGCGTCCTAAAGACCAATTTCAGACATCTTTGGCTAACGATTTGAAGAAAATTAATTCATCCCCCAACATTTTCATTTTCGCGGACAAAACTAGAAACATTTACGAAACGTCACTGAACACATACAACGAACTCTTACATGATAACATCACGAAAACGTACAAACATGGATCAGAGGACTTCATACATGAAATTGACTCCGAATTGAAAGAAATTTCGAGTAGGTTAGAAATTGGCGACAGAATTGAACGAGTGAAAAAACGCGAAGCATTTATATCTTTAAAAGATCACAAAGAAAATTTCGAAAACAATCCAAAATGCCGACTAATTAATTCCCGCAAAAAGCGAATCCGGAAAACTAAGTAAGGTTATTTTAGATAAAATCAATTCCAATTTGAGACAAAAACTAAATTCAAATCAATGGAGAAATACACAACAAGTAATTTCATGGTTTGGCAATGTAAACGATAAAGACAGGCACAGTTTTATTTCATTTGATATTGTGGATTTTTACCCATCCATTTCCGAAAAACTTTTAAATGAAGCATTGGCCTGGGCTTCGGATTTGACTACTATTACCGAAAACAATATTTCAATAATAAAACATGCAAGAAGATCTCTACTTTTCGGCAACGGCAAATTATGGACAAAAAAAGACGGAAGCAACAGTTTATTTGACGTCACTATGGGTAGTTTCGACGGCGCTGAAATTTGTGAGCTGGTAGGCCTTTTCATTTTAAATCACTTAGGTAAGAGGTTTGGCAAGGAAAACATCGGCCTTTATAGAGATGATGGTTTGGCTATTATAAAAAGCAAATCCGCCCGTTTACTAGACAAAACTAGAAAAGAGCTACACAAAATTTTCGAGCAATTTGACCTAAAAATCATCGCCCAAGTAAAGATGAACGTTGTAAATTTTTTCGATGTTACTTTCAACCTGATCAACGCAAAACACAAACCATACAGGAAACCCAATGACGATCCATTATACATCCACAGACACTCAAACCATCCACCAAGCATTACAAGACAATTACCTACAGCTATCAACAAACGCATTGCACTTCTCTCATCGGACAAACAAACATTTAAGGAATCCACACCTATTTACCAGAACGCTCTTACACATAGTAACTTTGATCATGAATTTACGTACACTCAGGATGCACCGCAACGGACACGTAGGAATAGGCAACGCAACATAATTTGGTTCAACCCACCATTTAGTGAGAGTGTTAACACGAACATAGGACGGGAATTCTTAAGTTTAATTGACAAACACTTCCCACTACAGCACAAACTACACAAGATTTTTAACAGAAACACTTTAAAAGTAAGCTACAGTTGCATGAACAACGTTAGGTCTATAATCACCAAACACAACGCACATATAATTAGGAACAGTCAATCACGAGAATACGGAAACTGACAACTGTAACTGCGACAACAAAAACACTTGCCCACTACCGAAACAATGTATGACCAACAACATTATTTACAAAGCCACAGTCACAACGAACAACACGAACGACACTTAACACTACATTGGTATGACAGCGACTACATTTAAGGAACGTAACGCTAACCACACTTCATCTTTTCGTCATAAAAAAGACTCAAACAAAACAGAACTTTCGAAACATATTTGGAAATTAAAAGAAAACAATCAGGATTATACCATCAAATGGTCAATTTTAAAACACGCTATTTCGTACACAGGGGGATCAAAACGCTGCAATTTATGTTTGGAAGAAAAATTTTGCATTTTGAAAGACATAGACAAAGACAATTCACTCAATAAAAGAAGCGAAATTTTCGGCAAATGTCGTCACAAAAACCGGTTTCGAGTAAACAAGGTCGTTAACAAAACCTAATGACCCAAGCATGCATTGTTTCTCCTAAGCATTGTTTCGCCTACACGCATTCCGCACATTCTTTCGATAGCATAAAAGCAACCTACAATTTCGAAATTATTCACCACCTGATGATTCCTATACGGATGAAACAGACTGTTGTGGTTTTTTGAGGTAAAACGAAAAACTATATTACGCTCTATCTATATGGTATTGAGCACTGTTTGTGTTTCGTAAACGAAAATCTTAAGCTATATATATATATATATATATATATATATATATATATAGATTGATAGATAGATAGATAGATGGACCGCTGTAAGTGCTGCTCAGTCAATCACAGTCCAAGATTTCACCGGAAGTGATGCTTGCTATAAAATTGGCATTGAAAAATTAGTTTGCTTCATTCAATAGAACTCTTAAATTATATAATACATCCGCCATCTTGGACTAAATCCTGACCTCATTAACTATGAGATATGTGTAACATTAACCCTTAAATGTTCGAGTAAAAATCTAAAATTGTCTGAAATGTTTTGAACGTGGCTCGATATGGTTATCACAAAAACCTTGCTCAAAAATCGCGAGCAAAACCAGCTAGCTGACCACTTTTACGCGCAGGTCGTGGAAACTGATTAACAAAATGTAACGACTTCCAAAATGACCTGACGTGAGCAGTTGCTCGCGCCATCTGACGTCATTGCGCATGTTCTATAGCGTTTTATGTCAATTGTTGACGTCATTAGAATTTTTCATTTTAGAAAAACAATGCGCTATATTTCTCTATTTTGTCTGGAGACCTATGTTCAAATTTTGTATACTGTATTACACCGCTAAAAACTTTTTACCGAAGAGTACGACATTTTCGCTTTTTCCAAGAAATTGGCATTACAGAATTTTTTTATATTTTACTATTTCTTAGTTTTTCTTCCATGTAAAATAATGCACGAAAAAAATGGAGTTTACCATGCTTCTTTTCCAACTATACGAGTCGATAGGCCAATTTGGAGTGAAATTCGTACAAGTATGTTGTCATAGCAACGAAATATCTGTTTCTAAAACTAATATAGCTTGAAAGTAAAGATATCAAAGTATATAAAAAACCCAATATCTGATGAATAAATCCTAAAAATGCGTAGTTTGAGCATGTCAAATGAAAGTGTTGAACACCTGAATATTTGAAAAGTGTATCGAGCAACCTTAATCGTTTATAAATTTCATACAGCAACGAGAAACAAAGTTTTAGACCAATAGTGATCGCGTACTCTTAAGATAAAAATTAGCGTAACCCTATCTTGCCATAACATGCATATTCTCTATAATCCAAGATGAGGAACAGCTCACTTTTGTCAACAAAATATTTGGAAAACTATTAAACTAACCAAGATATAAACAATAATGTTTTTTTTAATTATTTTTATTTTTTTATTGTCAATGTCCTTTTAATGTTACCAGATACTTTAGATCCGGGAACAGAGAATTATTTCGACATACTGAATGATGCATATCAAACATTTAATATGCAATCATGCATAAAAAAAGGTTCAGGCTGCAATTCATCAGTTCCCAAGTAGTTTTTGATATTCGGTTATATGTTCGGGTTAGTCTTAAGGTGCAAAGAACGACTATACTGCATGGTCTCGATTGTCATGTATAGATGCTAGTTCATGTTTCGCTTTTGCTTTGTGCTTTATTCTAGCAATATTTCTAAATCGAAATACTCATCATATCTCATGTTTTATAGGATAATGAAATTCAGGATTGGATTCGTGATCTTCATGATAACGGTTACAAATTTGGAGGTAAAAGTGTGGATAAAAAAGTGCCCAAATCATTTACGAATCGTGAAGACCTGATCAATTTCCTGACCAAGGTGATCTTTACCTGTTCTTGCCAACATGCTGCTGTTAACTTCTCTCAGATGGCCACCTATGGTTACCATCCTAATTCTCCAACCTTGATGAGACAACCAGCGCCCACAAAGAGAGGAGAAGCAGATTCCACTGCCATCATGGCTACTTTGGCAAATAAACACCAAGCTGGTATAATGATAGCCGTTGTCAAGGCGTTAACTACCGTTTATCCATCTGAGGTATTTGAATAATCTGATTTATACCTTCTCAACTCAGAAACGTTCGAGGCCAATATTAATAATATGCTTATTGGCGACATCAGCAACTGATTATTTATTCGCAACATGGAGTAAAACTTGAAATCGATTTATCCAATTATAATCTTTCCATATATTTTAATATAAATTCAACGTCTACGACTTTGCATTGGACAGTAAATAGGCTACTATGCAAATTTCGTGCAAAGACTGCCACTAGCTTCAAATCGCCTTTTCGGCTCAGGAAATATCTAAAATAAAAAAACTGCTTTACTGTTCTATAGACATTTTCTTGTCTATTTTTCAGCCATTTCTGGCTGCAACAGAAATATATATATTTATTATATGGACAATGGTGTTTTACTGGAAATTAAAACACTCATAGAACTCATACGTCACTACATCCGGGACCAGGTGCGCGTATTTTCCGTATTTCACCCCTGCCAGTGACATACGAAGTTCGAAAATTTCCCTCCATTTTCATTGTTGTTGTTTTGAAAATGCAAATGGTCTTTGGTTCGTATATAAAACGAATTTAACGTTGGATATAAAACGAAAACATTTAAAAGACATTTTGAGATAAGTAAAATTTATTCTAGCTTTATATACTGGTCTTTCGCGTGCTTTTTTACATGTCGTATTTGTGTGTATTTTTGTCACTCTGAGTAAGTCCATATAATAAACAGAACTTTAAACGATTGCGAGAAGATATGGATTTATGTTCTCGTGTCAAAAACAATATCTCACTCGTTCGCCGCGCTCACTGGTGAGATGTTGTTTTTGCCACTCGAACATAAATTCCTTATCTCTTCGCAACTTTCTAATAACCAATAAAAGTATAATCTATATATCTGTTATTTACCGGATCCGATGTCCGGATGAGAAAAAACTGCGCCCGAGATCTTGAGAACGGCCAGAGGTCGAAGGGCGAGGGACGTTTTCAAGACCGAGGGCACAGTTTTTCTCACCGGACCGACGCTGCCGGTAAATAACGTGTTTATTTTTTATCAGATGTTAAAATTAAATATTTAAATTCATTAAAATTCCAGCATTGCTTGCAAACTAATTTGAGATCAGTGCAGTTGTGTATTTTTAAAACGAGGCTGACAAAAATTGAAATGTTGAAAGATATAAAACACGATAGAATACGAAAACTCGAGAAAACTGGCAAGAAACACACAAAAAGGTACCCGGACATTTTGCCGAAAGACACTTTGCCGAAAGACATTTTGCCGAAAGACATTTTGCTGAACGGACATTTTGCCGACGGGCGTTTTGCCGAACGGACATTTTGCGGAACGGAAAGTTTCTGTCACCAAAATCGACAATGACTTTAGTCATAGAAACATTGACCGTGTAAACGAACCTTTAAAGTTCAGAATATATCTCTATTTTCGGCAAGTTGTCCATTCGTGAAACTGTCCGTTCGGCAAAATGTCCATTCGGCGAAATGTCCGTTCGGCAAAACGTCCGTCGGCAAAATGTTCGTTCGACAAAATGTCTTTCGGCACAATGTCTTTCGGTAAAGTGTCTTTCGCCAAAATGTCCGGCCACCCACAAACACACGTATAGTTTCAGTAAATTTACATGCTTTTTTCATGAATATAATAGCCGAAAAGCTTTGGAATTAAGTCTGGCGTTTTAATTTCTGGCTTTGACAAATTCAGTTGCTTCTGACAACGACGGGTTCATGTTCAGATCCGGTCAAAACCACATAAAAATGAATCTGTTTTGACGCATGTAATCAACGTTTTTCTACTAAAAGGACAACGAATAAGGTATGCTATTTTTATACTTTTTCGATTGTGGTCATTTCACGATAACATGCTTGAAAAAGGTGTTTTAACACATAGACTTTTACTTTGTGTACAATATTAATATCAGTAAAAAATGCTCGACACATATGGGTAGAGAATATAATTTATTCGTGACTTGTTTTTCACTGCTGCAGTTAAAACTTCTGTTAAATGGGAAAACATTTCTTCTACAATATCTGTTTAATTTAATCTGTATTTTTCGCTTTGAAGTGGCCGAATACATGAGCATTTAAAAAAATATGTAGTTTTCTCGGCCTAAGTTTTATAAATGTCAAATAACTTTCCGACTTTCAGTCGCATTTCTATCAAAATATTGTCAATTCTGGTGTACATCGTGTTTAGAATGAAGTCTTTAGGAGTTGATGCAATTCATTTTCGTATCCTACAAACGTTTCGGGCAGATTTTTTTCGTTTGAAAATTGTTTCACTCCCTATTTTTTGCCGCGAAAACCAGAGCGGGCAGTTGTATTTCACAGCGGGCAGTTGCGTTTCACAGCGGGCAGTTGCGTTTCAGAGTGGGCTGTATATACAAAAAAATAGCCCGCTCAGATTGCTTCCATGTTGGTCAAATTTACCAAAAATTTCTCCCACACGTGCAGGGTCGTATTGTCAGTGGAGATCTTCCAGAAAGTGGCCAGTTCTTTGAAAAATGCAATTTAATAACTAAACAATCATCACAAAAAATAAATATTTTCACGCCCGGCTCAAGGTTTTAAAATTATTGCTATTATACGCATGTGCCTAAACTAAAGGTTAAAATTTTAGTTACAAATTTCTAGGTGGATATAGTTCAGGTTGCAAAACTCGATTTAACATAAATTTAACATCTATAGTACTTTTTATCGCTGGCTGATAAACACGCCTTCTTAGTTCGGCTGCTTCCGTCGACTTGTTTCTCCTCGTTTTTTTTTCTCTCTCTATGAGAATTAATTGAGTTCGAAAATACACATCCATTCTCAACAGTGATGGGTGGACATTGCGAATATTTTTATTGATTATATTTTTCGTTGCTGGTATAATGAAAACGTGAAAAAGGTTTTGATATTTTTTTGTGCTAATAATATCGCCGTAATTAGCTGGGTAAGTATGTTTATTGAATACTACACTGAAGCATAGCTCAGTTATTATGGGCGCAAATCAAATGAAATTTTGCATACTGATTGTACATGATGAGACGCATGGAAAAACACTTCTAATTTTGTTGACAAGGTAACAATGTCGTTTCCAGGCCCCTTGCGCCAATTTTATGAAACAGCTTTATTCAAGGTACTGATAAAAATAAAATAATATCAGAAGAATGTGTATGATACCTATGCATGCCAAAAGTTTACTTGCATGATAATAATTCGAAAATGACATACACATAGATAAATGCAACTAGTTATTCAAAATCAGTGTAAGGGGCCTGGGAACGACTGTGTTGCCTTGACAACGAAATTAGAAGTATTTTCCAATTGGTCTCATCATGTACTATCTGTATGCAAAATTTCATTTGATTTGAGCCAATAATAACTCAGCTATGCTTTAGTTTACTATTCAATAAACATACTTACCCAGCTTATGACGTCCAGAATGTGCTGAATCAGCAATTTATATTTTGCACATTTTTGCGTATAACTTCGGAACCAGATGAGATAGGATAGAGCAGTAAACGGCCAATGGGCTTATTGTTTCATGCTCTTTCAGATGAAGCAATAAAATCAATACAAATTTGTTGTTGCCCATACCCTTAAAATTAAGTAATTATTATTGCCATATTGTCAAATCGCTATAATTGCCTTCATGATGCAGTCTTTTACTGACTTTAGGGTCTCTGAGTTTTTACCTTGCGAGTTTTTCCAAGGATCTGATGAACGAAGTTTTCTCAATTTAGTTGTTTCTTGGGGATTATGCTGACAACTTATTTGGTGATGCTTCAGCACAGGCAGCCTTGGCGAAATTCAAGAGTAAGCTTGACGAGATAACGGAGAAGATTAAGAAAAGGAACGAAGGAATGGTAGCTCCGTACACATGGCTCTTGCCTGAGCGTATTCCGAACAGTATTGCTATTTAACGTATCATGAACTCGCTTCTCATTGGCTTGACAAGCATATTATTAATCTTTTGTTATATCTTTTTAATATTTTAAGGCACTGTTATTATTATTGTGCTTAGTAATGGTGAATAAATTAATAAATAAATGAATGAATATATTAATGACTGAATGAATGTGTAATATGTATGGATATATTAATACGTATAAAAAATATATAGTTTTTTGCATACGGTAAGATTACGTTGTTGTTGTTGTTGTTGTTGTTGTTGTTGTTGTTGTTGTTGTTGTTGTTGTTGTTGTTGTTGTTGTTGTTGTTGTTGTTGTTGTTGTTGTTGTTGTTGTTGTTGTTGTTGTTGTTGTTGTTGTTGTTGTTGTTGTTGTTGTTGTTGGTTGTTATTTGGTTGTTGGTTGTTATTTGGTTGTTGTTGTTATTTGGTTGTTGTTGTTAGTTGGTTGTTGTTGGTTGTTGGTTGTTGGTTGTTGGTTGTTGTTTGTTGGTTGTTGTTGTTGGTGTTTGTTGTTTGTTGTGGTTGTTGGTTGTTGGTTGTTGGTTGTTGTTGTTGGTTGTTGTTGTTGTTGTTGTTGTTATTTGTTGGTTGTCGTTGTTGTCGTTGTCGTCGTTGTCGTCGTTGTCGTTGTCGTCGCTGTCGTTGTCGTCGTCGTTGTTGTCGTCGTCGTCGTCGTTGTTGTCGTCGTCGTCGTCGTTGTTGTCGTCGTCGTCGTTGTTGTTGTCGTCGTCGTCGTCGTTGTTGTCGTCGTCGTTGTTGTTGTCGTCGTCGTCGTTGTTGTCGTCGTCGTCGTTGTTGTTGTCGTTGTCGTCGTCGTCGTCGTTGTTGTCGTCGTTGTCGTTGTTGTTGTCGTTGTCGTTGTTGTTGTCGTTGTGTTGTCGTCGTTGTTGTCGTCGTCGTTGTTGTCGTCATTGTTGTCGTCGTTGTTGTCGCTGCTGCTGTCGCTGTTGTCATTGTCGCTGCTGCTGCTGTCGCCGTCGTTGTCGTTGTCGTTGTCGTTGTTGTTGTTGTTGTTGTTGGTTCTTGTTGTTGGTTGTTGTTGTTGGTTGTTATTTGGTTCTTGGTTGTTATTTGGTTGTTGTTGTTGTTGGTTGTTGTTGTTGGTTGTTGTTGTTTGTTGTTTGTTGTTTGTTGTTTGTTGTTTGTTGTTTGTTGTTTGGTTGTTGGTTGTTGGTTGTTGGTTGTTGTTGTTGTTGTTATTTGTTGGTTGTTGTTGTTGTCGTTGTCGTTGTCGTCGTTGTCGTTGTCGTTGTCGTTGTTGTTGTCGTTGTTGTTATTTTATTGTTGTTGTTGTTGTTTTAATTTTCTTAACATAGTGCGAAAGACATTAAACTTACGTGAGCAGCCGCTATTGGTATTAGATTCGTGTCCTTCAATGCACAAACATTTGAAATCATTATTCATATTCCAGGATCCATTACTGTAACAGTGACCTTCAAGTCTCGTCATATTATTTGAAGCCAGCGAGTTCTGAGAACAATTAGCTGTGACAAGCTTAGATCCACTCACAGGCGAGACAGTCCTTTTCAGTCTGACGCTGTTGATATAGGTTTCCTCACAGTAGTAGTAATACATTGTCATATTCATTATCTTCCCACACGCTCCTTTGGATCTTACTGCGAATGTCACACCTTTAGTCTCGTTTGAGTTGAAGGAAAAGGTTTGGGTTTGTTTAGATAGAGTTGTGCTGAGTAAGGTATTGTTTGTGATGTTATGAACTGGAGAAAATAGATCAAGGAGGTTATCTTCCCTTACGACAGGTTTATCCTTTCCACGATTGATGTACACCTCGAAATAGTTAGAAGGACACTGCACTTTTTTTCTAGTACCAGGGTTATCACACAGGGTGAATCCTGCTTCAACATGTACATAAATCACGTCAGCATACGATGAACCCAGATCCACAAATTTTGTTACAAACCAAAAGTCTGCAGTTGATCCTGTGCCACAGGTTTTAACGTGCTGTTCGTCCATTGTAAATGACCACTAAATATAGTTGATGCAAATAGGAATGTTATACTACAATTGTACTACAGTTTAAATACAATTATATATTTATACCCACTATTTCGCCTTGGCCATTTACGTTAAAAGTCTGGAAGCTCGTACTTTCCAAAATATTATTGTCAATAATTTCTAAATGCAATGGAAAATTAGGTCAGTATTTTAATTAAAACTGTCATGCACTGCATGTAATTTGTTTCAGTGAACATGCACAAGAAATCAGTATCCACAAACCTTTCTCCGTACTGCATAATGGTAAACAAAATAAAATCCAACAAATCCAAGTTGAAAACCATACCACGAAATCCATTTTCAAATAAAATATTTTACTAAAAAGTGAAAATGTAATTTTAAATTGATACCGAGAGAAAATAGTTTCTGGCAAGATTAATGAAAAAATGCCCCTACATGCCTACAGTCTATAGCTGATTCGATGCAAAGGTCTTTATATTTATTAGATAGGATGAAAACTTTCGAATTATATATGTAGCTAAAAAAGCTTTCTGAATCTTTCCGTTTGTAAACATTACTTCATATATGAACATTATAACAGACACTACAACAACGAATTAAATACTATATCGCTTTCATTTAGATCATATAGAACACAGTCATCACTTATGTTCAAAATCTTATCATAAGTTAAGAGGACTTGCATTGCGGTTTGATTCTCTTCATGTGGATTCATGACACTAAAGTCTGTTCTAAAAGTCGCATTTTACATGCGCCGAATGCATTCAAAACGATGGATAATGAGGCATTTCTGCTGATTAGTATAGGTAATAGCATGGTTTCGAGTGCAATTTGGATATAACATGTACGAGTGAGTTTTTCAAAGACCTCAAAATAGCACGAGTCCAAAGGACGAGTGCGAGTCCAAAGGACGAGTGCTATTTGAGGTCTTTGAAAAACTCACGAGTGCATGTTTATCCAAATTTCACGAGAAACCATGCATGCTATTACTTATTAATAATTTACATAAAAATATTCGAGACAATTGTAGTTTTAACTTACACGTTTATAGCGAACATTCCACTTGGCACTGGCAAAGTTTTCCCGGCTTTGTTATATCACATTATACAACGCTAACAGCTTGAAAATTCCACTCAACTATGTAATTTTTGTTAGTCTTCTTTAAGGTAAATGCTTTCCCATTTAAAAATAAAGATATAAAAAGCTATATTTTCCACAGGAAGGCAACTTTGGAAATTTTGCACTTTACCGTACCGGAGTAATCACTGAATACATACGCCATCAAAACACGCCAATAAAAGAACGGAAAAACCATCAGAACACACGCCATCAAATACTTGCGGTACGGTAAAGTGCCCGCAACTTTTACTTTGTGTAGCGCGGCGCCACGTTTGTTTTGTTTTGAAGCAATCTGTGACCGTTACTTCTTTAAAATAAATTGCTTTAAACTGATTGGTTGATTTAATCATCATAATGTTTTTCCACCAATCAGATCAGTTTTGCACTGTGATTACAGAAAATTGCACTGTGATTACAAAAAATTGCACTGTGATTACAGAAAATTGCACTGTGATTACAGAAAATTGCACTGCTGTTTGGCATTAACTGCACTGAAATCAACCAATCACAGTCCAGTAATATTTTTATGTATATTATTATATCTATTAGTATTGTTTTGAATGCATTCGGCACATGTAAAATGCGACGTTCAGAACAGGCCTTGTTCACAAAGAGCCAGTCAACGTTTTCGCGAGTTTTCTCCGGGTTCTAATTTTCTTCCACAGCTGTAATTTTGACAGGGTGGTTTGGGAGATATTCCAAACTAACTCTTTTCCACTCATGGCAAAATCCACCTCGCAAGCACGCTGCGGGTGCTGGCATCTAATTAAAAGGCATATTTAGATCGAGGACGCGGACGTCAAAGACGACGTGAAATTGGTGTGTTGTGCCCATTTATGGATATGCCATGCCATTTTGACGCTACTTTCACGTCGTCTTTGACGTCCGCGTCCTCGATCTAAATTTGGCTATTGGATGAAAACACTTGCAGGGAGGTTGCCAGTTCACTCTTGCGATGAATGGAAGCACGGATGGAAAAGTACCGACTACAAGCGCCCTTAGTAAACCTTCGACTCGATTAGTTTGAGCTGCGTCCTTCAAAAATCCCAGCATATCCTTATTTATAGCTTCTTATAGCCTTATCTTTTATACATGCATGCATCGAATTATTTGCATTAAATGAACAAAAAAGCTAATCTTTTCGATATGAATACATACAAATAACGTCAAATAAACATGGAAGTGTTAGGCTGCCTTGTCCACTATTTAAGCTATCCGTACTACTGATCCATGCGAACCGATAATTTATAGCAGAGCAAATTCTGGTTAAAAGTTATTAATATGCCTAAAATTCTTATGACTTAAGAACAAAAGTCTTGGACGTGACCTGTATTGACAACAAATTCACTCCTACCGACTGCACGTAGCCGGATTTGGTCAAATCATGTTTCCCTACTTGTTCTGCATGTATGTATACAAATCCCTCCCAACATTATATAACATTCTCAATTCCGTCTTATCTTATATACCTTTAAACTTTACGTGAATCTCACTTCTTTTTTTGCTTTCCCCAAACAGAATTCATCAGCGTATTTGGAAGAGTTTATTTGTACTTCTAACACAAACAAACTGAAACTCGGCAGTCTCGGCTTATTTCCGACTTTTCATCACAAAATCTTTGTTTCTTCGTTCCGTCATATATAGGCATATGCAGGCCAATACACAGGTGGAGATACTTAGTCGGATCGATCTTTAAATTCACATAAACCTGCAATGGGCATTTATAATGCCTTAACCAATTTCGTTGTTTTTGAAGCCTTGGACTGTTGTGATGACTCTTCTTACGGTCGAGTATTTCACGTTAGAGTGGTTATAATACGTGGTTTTAAGTAAGTAACCTTCGCCAGTTAAGCCAGCCTTAATCCCCGAGCCGAAGGCGCGAAGCGCCATGCGAAGGTACTAATTCCCCCCGGCTATTTACACCCGGGGAAACGAAAGCATAATTAGCCAAGTCTAAAGTTCATAAATGAACGCGGGCGTGGGTTACCGTGAGTGGTTCGGTGGGTGGTTATCCTCACTGATCTCAAAATTATGGTGGACTGTCATGAATAGCGGACACTGATTGGTCCAATTTAAAGTTTGCATTATAACGACTGAATGACGACAGCGAAATAGCAAACATTTCTTGATTTGATGATTGATAAATTTCTTGCAAATATATTTCATTTTCGCTCGCATGTTTGCAAGATCTTGTAAATTTCAAAAGCTTTCTCAGAAAGAAAGGGCGAAAGAATCGGCTAAAAGAAGTCAAAGAAGGGAGCCGACGTTAACGAAGGTAAGTTTGTTTTAAATATTGATTTTATAATTGCTTTAAAACCCGACGGCCTTTGGCCCTTTGCGTATATGAAACAACTAAACAAGACAGCATATAACAGTGCCTTTTTTAACTATATATCTGGGGGGGGGGGGCAATTGCCCCCAGGGAAAGAATTTGCCCACCCCCAGTAAAGCCATTCCTGCCCCCGAAGTGCGAAGCAGAATTGCTTATGATTGCTGTCAGAATTGCAGTTGATTTACTTGATAATGAGATTATGCCCTTCCATAGCCTCCTCCACAGCCATCTTGTGTGTAATTCATATTGTTCTTCACCGAGTATTTCATAACAGCGATAGATTTCATGCAAACAATCCGATAAAATGCTAGCCTTTCCAAGCCTTGCGACTATTTCCTAGCACTCTCCTCCGCAGAGGCGTTGTGTTTTGTTAGGTTTTATTGCAAAATTTGTTTCTTAAAAATATCAAGTTATATTAAGAGCCCCCCCCCCCCAATCGCCACAAAAACCATTCTCTCAGAAAGGATAAATCCGTAGAGAAATTGGGTGGGGGTGGGGGTGGGGTACACGTTACATGCTCGAAGCTGAAACTGATTAAATACGTTTCGACTGAGGAAAAAGACGATATACTGGAGGAACTTGATTTGTGAAATCTCGTTAAAGCAGTTGTAGATATGGTTCCAAGAAGAATAGATTTAGTTTAGATTTTTAACTGTTAAATACATGTATGTATCGTGCATGAATATTTCTTCTCAGACTTATTCTGTATCGTATGAAAAAGCAACGCAATTTTGAGAATGCGGAAATGGTGTCTCATAGAACCTAAAATGATTTAAATGCAACATTTCTGATCAAAATCACATTGGGATTTTCTCCCCCCCCCCCAGCATCACAGAGAGGAAATAAGGTGACACTGACCCCTCCTCCTATTTTTCAAGGTGACTTTTCCAATTTATTTAATTCCGAGTAGAAATGTCTGGAAAAATTCATGTCTTCGATGTACTTTATAATCTTCGGAATTCTGCTAGATTTCACCCCCAAAATGCATGAAATCGCAATTCAGGGACCCTAGATTTCAAAGTTTTCCGGACCCCGGACCCTCCTAGACGGTGGCCCCCGCCCCCCGCAAAATTAAGGTTTGGCTACGCCACTGGTTATAGCTGTACGATTATAGCTACAAAGAGTTGAAGTTATTGTTTAAAGTAAAAATATAGCTGATCTTAATAAATTAAAGTTTTACAAAATCTCTTTTTAGACTCGCGCGTTCGCCAAACCTC